TAAGTTTAGGAGAAATCACAGTTTAAAATATGCAAATTCCAAACTACTAGAAAAAACCTGTGCATCAATAAGTCGAGTCAAACTGTGGAATAATTAGAAAACTGAACTTAGACAATGTCCAAACATAAAACTGTTCAAATTATCATATAAATGTGATTATTGCTGGATATAATATATAATATTATTGTTGATGTTTTTGTTATTGATGCTACTTTTGTTTTTGGTGAAGTTAAAGGAATAATAATTATCTATTGTAGTTAACTTCAATAGATCCTATGTTGATGGGTTGAAGACAGGTTTAGTTGTTATATGTATGATACATGTAACAAATGTATGAAAGTGTTTAAGGAGTAGGAATTTTAATAAGTTTATATTTCTACCCACTCCCTTGAATATGTCAAACAAAAAGTTTTGACATTATGCTTCATGCTTTTTTCTTTTTTTTTTACGTATTCACAAAACTAATAAACTAAAACTAAACTTTTATGTGTAAAAGGTAATTATACATGTTTTTATTAGAAATATTTTCTCTTCATATGCTATGTTCACTCTGCAGACAACATGTGGCGCCTTTGCCAGATGTGCGACAAACCAACCCATCCTACATGGACATGACGTCAGCCGTGCAAGGGAAGCGTAAATTTAACCGGTAATGCACGACTTCATTTTCTTTTTCAAGTGTGCGGATCATAATTTTCTTAAGAGATAATAATCCAACTTCTATACATTTTCTATTGAATTACTTTTAGCAGCATCAGAGAAGATACGAGTCAGGATTTCTCCGCGCCGAAGCGTATAAAGAAAGACGCGTCGGTGGTTCAGAGGCCACTCAGGGTGCAGCGCTTCACCGGTAAACATCAAAGAGGAAAAAAGCACTTCCTGATCAAACCGTCGTGACGTGCACACATTTTATTTAGAGTTGCTGGATCAGTTTTTTTCTTCACATGGATCTTTATTTGTCGTTTGACCTCAGGTTCTGAGAACAAGCGTCGCACAATCGTGAGGAGCGTTTCTGAAGGGACCCTCGGCCTCGGCGCTCAAAAATCCAAGTCCTTTCTCCGCAAAACATCTCAGCAGATGAGACGAGTGGCCAAACGAACGTGAGGCAGCACCACGCCCGCTCCGTCCACGGAACAACCTGACAGGTGTTCTGTTGTGTAGATTAGTCGTGCTCAAGATGTTTACTTGTTTGTATAAAAGCACTGTTGATGTTTGTGCTTATTCTTTTTAATTTTATGGATTCGTTCATCTTCTAATCCCTTTTTAACTTCTCAGGATTTTTAGTTTTCACCTTAACAGCACAAAATACATTTTTATTGTAGGTGACCTCTGTCTTCCAAACATTATGTATTTTATTCTGTTCTCTAAAATAATTGTTATATTTTACAGGACCATGTCTGGCAGGGCAGCTAATAAAACTCACTGTTCTGTTTTTGTCTTGTGCCGTTTATAACTTGGTCTTATAGACGCTGTGTAATAAAAGTCTGTGTTTTTAAGTTAATAAATTCATTTCTTCAATGGAATGTTTGCTTTGTTGTGCTTTTGCTGTTGAAAGTAAAAATGATTTTCAATGAAGATTCAGTTATAAAGTTTTGTTGCATTAAATAAACGTGAAAAATCAAGAAAATTACCATTACATTACCATAACCTTTGCATTCATTTTACATCTTGTCAATAATTTGAGGAAAAGGCTGAAAAATGAATAAAACTGAAAAAGAATTTCTTTTGTCAAAATATTTTCAGAAGTTGTTTAATTGTTTCAAATTGGTGTGTCGCTTGTCACCTTGTAATCCAGGGTTTTAAAGAAAAATGTTGCAGGATCAAGATGGCCGCCACATCCAACTGATTTTAACCAAAAGACTCAGTCAAGTTCACAAATAATGAGCTACAGTTTGACATTATAACAAAACGTGCATCGCTTTGGATCTCCAGTCCATCACAGGGACACATAGAGACAAACAACCATTCACTCTCTCACTCACCGAGGGACAATTCAGTCACAATCAGCCTAACATGCATGTTTTTGGTCTGTGGGAGGAAACTGGAGCACCCGGAGAAAACCCACGCATGCACGGAGAGAACATGCAAACTGCACCCAGAAAGACCCCTGGACCGGGGTTTGAGCCGGAGACCTGCGCGCTGAGAGGCAGCAGCTCTACCAGTTGCACCACCGTGCTGCGCAGGTTCACTCATTCAACCTGTATACACATTCATTCATTCATTCAACCTTTATTTATACAGATTCATTCATTAAACCTTTTTTTATACAGATTCATTCAACCTTTATTTATACAGATTCATTCATTCATTCAACTTTTATTTATACAGATTCATTCATTCATTCAACCTTTATTTATACACATTCATTCATTCATTCAACCTTTATTTATACACATTCATTCATTCAACCTTTATTTATACACATTCATTCATTCAACCTTTATTTATACAGATTCATTCATTCATTCAACCTTTATTTATACACATTCATTCATTCAAC